GTTACAATACACACACATCTGTTTAAAAATATGTTTTTCCGTTAACCAGCTGTCGCACCCCTACGAACGATAACCCTCAGAAGTCGAAACTTCTGCGAGCTAAGGATTAACGAGGTCTCACCTTTTGACGTGTGATTTCTAACATCGTTCAATTTAATCCAACCATAAGAATGTACAGTTCATTCTTACCATTTTTCTCCGTGTGTATTTGCTGTGATGCAGCAAAAAACACGAAACGGACCTGTTTTAGAGCAAAGGCGTAATAAGTATCAAATCAAGTGCAGTTATTACCCGCGAATATTACTGTGGATTACAGTGGATGAATTCTGGGCTGATTATACTTCTAAGCCGTGCGTTTCCACTTAGGCAGTCCTCGACGAAGCGACTACTGACAATTGAGAGGGTGCGAGTGTATTTTCGAGCCAGTAATGAAATTCTAATTATCGATTCTCCCTCCGGTTCTAACGGAATTGGAAACGACGGATGTTTCGTTTGGAAAGGGGCTCAAGGTTGAGAAGTGTGCAGAGTGAATCTGAGTCGGGAAGACAGAGACAGGTTTTGAAGTTTGCTGTTCGCTTGTCTGCTTTGTTTCACCAAAAACATGTTGGCAGTAATTGGTAATTATTATAATTACCAATTACTTATAAATTTCTTATAAAACTGTGATCTGCCAAAGGAGCTACTTCTGCTACTTCAAATATCGACATTTAAACAGCACCATCTTCACCATCTTCATTAGAGTGTATCTGCCGCAATCTTCTCAAAAACGATCAATATATTTTTGATGAAAGTCAATAAACAGTTTATAGGAAAATAATATTTTTATATATTTGTTGTAGATATTCTTCTCAATTTTGTGAGTCACTTTTTGCTGATACCAAATATGGTAAACTTCATGCCGAAATTTGTCTTTACCTATCATTGAATAAAACAATTCCTGTTGTTATCCTTTTTCGTAACAAGAACAAAAATAGTGTATCTCGATGCGTGTTTCGATAACCAAGATAGCGTCATCAGGAGATTCTAATGTAGACTAATTTAGGCAAGTTACATTGGGGCAAGTCACATAATTCGTGTCGTAAATATGTGTGATTGATGACTTGTTTATTTTGTGGTAATTCATGATCACTTTAATTTCCACTAGTTAATTTTATTTGTATGATCGGCGGGACTACATTTTCTTATCCATATCACGCTCCTTTTGATAATAGGGTTAAACCGAAACAGCTCGTATAAATAAAATTAAATAGTGGTAATTGGACAAAAGTATTTTTATTCATTTCATTAACGTGTCAAAAATGCTAAACATATCATACACGTATCGTGTCCAAGTTTGTAGAAATACCCTAACTATTCTCCTGTTTCTTTTTCAAATCTGCATATGAAAAGAGTTGCATTACTTTCTACAAAGTTGTATTCTATACATGGATGATTTATCTACCATTATCGATGCGAATAAAGGATAGGTAGAAATATGAAACTGAAAACAACAAGGGTCACCATTCTTAGATGTTATAGTTATAAGAAACGTCGGTAAGGGTTCGAAATTTGATATGAATAGAAGAAATACTTGTCCCTCCAGATGTATTCGCGATAGCTCCGACCAATGCCCACAACAAAAAATGGCGGAACTACATTTTCTTACCCATAGTCTAGTCACGCTCCCATTGATCAAAGGAAGATATGATACCGAGAAAGAAGCTATCAAGAAGATAGCTAAAACTAACGAGATTTTCTCAAACATTGTGTAAAAGTTAATTAGTAAGAGAAAATTCGGTGAGTGCCCTTTCCCTTTTCAGAAAAAAAAACTCAAAATTCATAGTTCTCTCATATGAACTAAAGTACACCAATGGTCTGGTTAATTTTTTTCAAATCAATATGTAACTGGCTTCAAAAACTGATCTTGAACTTCAAGAAGTTTTGGGCAACCCGAAAGACAAAATGACAGAAGAGTAAAAGCCTAGGATTAACGAAATGAGCTGTGAGGATTGCGATAATAGGTATGTTGGTCAAACTGAGCCAACTATAATAGCTCGTTACAAGGAACATGTTCCACATATTCGATTTCATAAGCCAAAATAAGTGAGAAATGTTTGAAATTGTTGAGATCGGTTTATGGCAACAAGTTTTTGGATGCCTTCGAAACTTCAGAAATCGAAAAATGTGAAATGAAATCCATGAACGGTGATAAAGATCCCATTGCTAATAGCCCATCATTCTCACTCGTACATAATTGAAGGTAGAAAACAGGTAAAGACAGGGTATCAGTCAGATTGTGAATAACGATAGGAATGATGAAAAAATACTCGAAATTGATTCAATTGCCCTCTTTTATACTTCATTTATATGCATATAAAAATAATAACATTCGAGTAGTTGTGAGAAGCAATTTCAGTCATCTCCTGATTATGCTAATTTGATTAGCATAATCGGGAGGTGACAGAAAAAAAAAAGTGTTTTCAATAGATTCATCTCACGCCAGAGGTTCCAAATTATATTCTTAAAAAAACATGGCGGAAAAAGATTTTTTCGTTAATAAGCTGTTGTTCTCGTACTTTGATAATACCTAACTTATACGAATTAGGAAATGACGAGGTCCTGCCTTTCAACATGTGATTACTAGCATGGGTCAAATTATATGCACAGAACACAGAGTTTGAATCAAACCAGCTTTCACAATAGCAGTGGTTTCATTACCGCATACTTCATCGATAATGCAACTAACACTACTTATGATTTCAAAACTTATATTGTAAGTATGTTTTAAGGTGGTTACGAAAAATTAATTTCGGAATTTTTTTGAGAGAACTCCCCTAAAAGCTGCCTATTGTCCATGAAATGAGATTAGTGAAATTTCAGTTCAATTGAATGAGATTAACCCAAGCCTCATCAAGATTGAAGTATCAGCTTTCTATAAAATTGTTTTTTTATAACAATATTGCAGGATTTGATTACATATTCTATCCAGGTTTTGCTTTATTAAATTTTTCAATTGGTACATAAATAAGGGTGTAGTTAAAATGGTTTTCAAAGTAAATACAGCACAATCCAAATTGAAAATGATGGATTTAGGTATAAAAAGGTATAAAAAACAAGAAGAAATAATGTTCAAAATGTTGTTGCTTGAAATAAAAAAAAATCTTATGAAAGAAATAAGTTAATATTATTATTTACATTTACGAATAGATATCAGATAAAGGTGATATGGTTTCTAAAGAGCTTTCGAAAAGTCTATATCTGAAATACTATATCTATTCAACAATACAGAAAATTTTTCGATAATAATATTTTTCTTTTTCTTTATTTCTGGTCCCCCATCCTTTGTATCGTGAAAATTCCCCTCTATTTCTTCTTGTTCCTCTTCTTCTGATGTGTTGCTTGTTGAAGATTCCAGTTGTGCAATTAAATTCACATCTTCTAGAAAAAAAAAAAAACCCAATAGGCAGTAAAAAGCAGTAAGCAGAGCACTCATGGAATAGGCTTCAAGTCAATAGAGAAAACGTTGTTAGAGAAAATGTGAGAAAAAAAGATAGAAAAACTTTACTAATCTACTTTGATTTGTGATTCTTGCGATATCATCTGCTTGTCTTCTTCAACACTGTTTTTAAGGCATCCTGATGAGCATTATCAAAAAGGTCATCAAGGGCTGACTTGAAAGTTTCTACTTCTTCATTTTGAGCTTTGCTTTCAGATCTGTTATCGATATTTTTTCAAATTTAATCTCAATAACGCACGGGTTAACACTATCCAATTGAGCTAAAATTTCCCAAATTTCATTTTCTAGACAAATAGCAAATATTAGGGGGGTCCCGCCGGCATTACGACGAAAATAGTTTTTGGTCGTAATGGAGTTTTTTGACAAAAAGTTATTCTTGATAAAAGTTTTTGCATCCCCTAAAACTAAACAGGCACTAACAAAATACAGCAGAACACACGTAATAGACAGGAGTAAAGTACTCTTATTTTGAAAAATCTCGGGAAATGTTATTCAAAAAAGTTTTTCAGGATTGAAAAATACATCTAGATTTGAAATCATGGCCATCTAAGTGGGGTTTCATTTTTTTCACCTTTGTTTTTTAATGGGGTCTACGAAAAGAAAAATTTGCTAAAACGATAAATAGACAGCATCCTGTATATGACGTTTTATTTTCAAAGCCTGCAATATTTCTAATTACATAACTATGGTAGTAACCACGGCCAATTTTTTTGAAGAATAAAATAATTTTCAAAGTTTTGGGTGGAAAGTTTTTTTTTATTTTTTGTCAACACCGAAGATTACTCAAAATTATACAGTATTATAACAAGAACCTAATATTCAATATTATCAAATCACAAAACATCAAAAGAAAATAGGTATATTGGAACAAACTCCTTGATTTTCTGGAGATTATTTTGGAGAATTATTTTGGACAAGAGAATCTCCAGAAAATCAACGAGTTTGTTCCGAAATACCTATTTATTTTGATGTTTTGTGATTTGATATTATAGAATATCGAGTTCTCGTTACAGTTCTGTATGATTTTGAGTAATTTTCGGTGTTAACAAAAAATAAAAATACCAAAAATTTTGAAAGTTATTTTACTCTTCAAAAAAATTAACCGTAGTTAACACCATAGTTGTGTAATTCTTAATATTCCAGGCTTTCAAAATGAACCGTCTTATACAGGATGTTGACTATTTATTGTTTTAGCAATTTTTTTTCGTAGTGCCCATTTAAAAAAAAATTGGGAAAAAAATAAAACTTCACTTAGATGGCCATGACGTCAAATCTGAATGTATTTTTTAATGCTGAACAACTTTTTTAAATAACATTTTTCGAAATTTTTCAAAAATGGAGTACTTTACTCTTGACTCAAAATCAAATATTTGAAGATAGTCCCTCAGATTCCGGAGGTAATTTGAGGGAAGGTAGCTAGGAGGGTAACTGTGTGTTTTTGTCATGGACCATAAGTGAAAATACTCCTAATGAAGATTATATTTATCGATCGGATATTTTCCAGGAACAACAGGATGCTGGACGAGAGTAGAACCAGGAACTGGGCGCTTGGAACCATTGGGTGCTTCTCAGGAATTAAGACTGGATAGCGTTTTATATCAAGAGGGTGGTGAATACCGCTGCGTAGCACCAACCAAAGATGCCACGAGAAGGTTGGATTCTTTAAGGAATGCCATGTCTGTTCAAGTAGTTGTATCAGGTAAGCAAGATAAATAGTTTCATAACTGAATGTTCAGAGATGAAATGATTATTCTAATAACAAACTATTATGGAGGAGCTCTTCATTTGAACGAAGCCACCCTTGCAAAATTTGTAATTTTGAACTGTTGACTCCTTATGGAAGGGTAAACCGCTTCGTTACCTAACGCATTACAATGCCAGTATGTCTGGCTTCTCTTTCTCTCACGCATACGTCAGCGGAAGGCCGGCTCCTCCTCTCTCGTCGAACAAACGCTCAGTGTTCAGTGTAGAGATATGCTGTTGACATTATTATAAAAATCTTACCATCAAGCACATAATATTCTTTCAATATGTGAAACGTAGCCTAAAAATGATGATATTAACTTTGTCTATGTAAATATTAGTATCATTATTTATTTCTACAAAAGTAACAATTGGCTCATATTATCATATTAATATACATAAAATATAAGTAATTACAAAGCTTTTCTCGAGTTGAACTATTTCAATATTAAGTAGTTCAAGTCAGATCAGTTTAAGTTATCATTTCTGTCGAGAACCCAAGACGCACACGTTTTTATTCAATTATTCAATTCAATTCAATTATTCAATATTTATTCAATATTGATAAATCTATCTTGGATAGATTTCAACTGAATAATGTTAAAGATAAAGAAAGTCCCACTAGAATAACAGACAAAACTGACATTCTGATTGACCTTATTTTATTTAATAGGTATAAATAAATTATTCCCGTGTGTTAAGGATATGGGTAACGTAACAGATCTATGTCATATTTTGAAATCAAAGTTTCTACTGAAAACGGTTGTTGTCCTAAATTTTGTTTACACAGAAATTTCAAAAATTGCTGCACTGAATTGTTTCGAATGAATTAATTGACTTCCGACTTTTTTGAAATTAATGATAAAGACAGTATTCATAAAAAATTATTGCACTTAGAGAACATTAAAAAGTTTCATTGATTATTAAAAATTCTCAGAATGAATATATACCTCCAGGATACGTCTACTTTCCTTGGAAACAATGTTATAATCCCCATTACTGATATTTCTCTCAATCAAATCAGCAATATTATATGACATAACATTTGACCCATATAAGAAGTTTGTATTTTCACTAGTTCTCGTCATATTTGATAAAATGTACAAATTCACTTCGACTCGATGAACTCCATTTCTGGAACTCAGAAGTTTTGAACATATTATGTTTATCGAAACTCTTCTTCTATGAAGTCTCACAGGAAGATCCTGTATATTATTATACTTCATTAGGTAAACGACTGTTTAGTGAGATGATCAATATTTTCGAACAAAAAAGTGTTAACACTAGAAGAGACAGTAGAGAAGGACTGAACAGTGCTTATTTCAGTTTGTTGAATTGGATTCCTTAATAGTTTATTATAAATAAGTTTTCACCATCATGTGTACCCAGATATCTTGTCATCGTTTATAAACTTCAAAAAATTGGTCAACAAAGACGTCCAATTCTAATCAGTTGTCTCCCTTGATAGCGTATTTATTTTTAATGTGTCTGTAGTTGTATGCGTTTCATGTAGTTAGTCCTTATTTTCGTTTGTTTTCGTATTTCATACGTATGTTGTCTGAGAGAATAATCAAAATTATATCAATTTGCAATATGTATTGGTATGTATACTGTTTTCTTATGATATTATTCTATTATAGAGCCCTGATGATGGATTCAATAAATTCCGAAACGCTGAAAAAATTGAATTATCCATCTACGAAGAATTTTTTATCCCTTTTCCAACTAATAAGCATTTGAGTTTTTGCAATTGTTTTATTTAAATTGATAGTAAACTGTAATGAATCTTTCTGCCGTATCTGTTGACAACGGTTTTATCTTATGTCTTAGTTCATTCAAGTAATAATTATTCAGATTTATCTTATTAATTATGACAGTTACGTATCCACATATTATTGCCAAAATCGGACACAGCATATAAATCTAAACAAGATCTGAAGTAATTGAACTAAATATCGATATTGTTATATCACCAACAAGCATCATATCATAATCAGTCAAGCTTATTCTGATTGATGTTTTTGTAAACAACCTATGAATCTCTCAGTGATCTGTGAAATACTCCTATCTTCCTCTGATCCAATGCAGTTGAATAGCCAAATATATTACTTCGCTTTTTGGGCGGTTAATCAGATTTTCCGATAATACATATGATTTACCGTTGAATCTAGAAGTTTCGACTAAATAGTTCTTTTATTGTTGCAATGATTTTCAATTCCATTAAGGTTAGCCTTCAGGCAACTTTTCATTCACAAAAGTGGAACACTTCATCTCTCCATGTTATCATCAGGTCATCAACATTCACTTTATATTAAAATTCTGAATGCATTTAGGCTAGCCGCACACTTGTAACTTTTCAATCTCGATGAGTAAATAATCTATACCAGGTTGAAATTATTACTCTGTTGTTTCAAACGCAAACTGGCATCACTAGGAGTAAACATTATCCTCAAATATAAATATCACTCGAGTTTTATTCCAACACCAAACCGTTATTTAAACACCTTTTTTTAAGGACAAAACACAAGCACTACAGGAAAATCCTTGAAGCTCTCTCAAAGTGCGAAGGTAACTATTCACATTGGATTTGATTCGCTGGAGATTAAATCCATTTGGAAAAACGTTCTCAGGAAGTTTATTCCATATAAACGGAGTTCTCCAAATAAGACTTCTTAGACATTGAAGTTCGAAGTATACTGAGTTGAACCTCAAAACGATGAGCAGCCACAGTCCGTCGCATATTTCTGATATGTACCGCTCTTGGTGGAATCAAATGTGCCAATTCACTGTTACACCTCTCGTGAAAGTATCTGTAGAAGAGAGATAAATCTCCAACTTATCTTCAATGTTCCAGGCTATCAAGATTGCACGTCTCCAATTGGGGGGATGGCTCTTTTCTGTCTCTTCAGGGTATGTTTGGGGGCAGAGCTCCATTCATGAGGACACTACTCCAAAGAAGGTCTAATCTGAGCTTTATAAAGCATCATAAGTTGGTGAGGTGTGTACAGTTTTCTGGTTTGGAACAGTGTTCCAAGCTTTTGGGAAGCAGCCTTTGCAATTCCAGTAACATGATTGTGCCAAGACATATTGGTGTCCATTTTAACTCCCAACAAACTTATCGAAGCAGAAAGCGGAATTGTCTGACCTGACATTATTATATCCGGTTCGGAGACATTTATCTTCTGGGAGAAAACCGATTCATGGGTTTTTGTGGCATTGAATTGAACCTGGTTACTTTCACCCCAATTCGAAATCACTTCTAGATCCTCATTAAGATATGCAACCTTCTGCTGCCGGTGGAGATATGCCTCCGTAGCAGATGTCCTGGAATCCAAATGGAATGACGAGACAAGTGTGCTGTCGTCAGCAACGCAATATACTGGATTCTTGATTTTTTTCAATCAGCCGTGTTAAAAGGTGTCACACGTATCACACGTTAAAAGGTAAGACCTCGTTAATCCTTAGCTGGCACAAGTTTCGACTTCTGAGGGTTGTCGTTCGTAGGGGTGCGACAGCTGGTTAACGAAAAAACAGATTTTAAAACAGATTTTTTATACAATAAAGAGAGGGTTGGAAACAATATGGATCCCTGGGGAATACCAGCGTTGATGGTGAAAGTATTCGAGAGATATCCATCGACGGCCACTTGCAGGGAACGTTCTTTCAGGAAGCTGAAGAGCCACACACAGAAATGATCCAACAAGCCATAGTATAGAAGTTTGGTCAGCAAACCTTCATGCCACACACGGTCAAAGGCCTCAGACATATCAAGCGCAACAGCTCTTGATCATGAAGTGATCGCCTTCAAGAGGAAGATGATCACTTGGTGATCGAAACAAGTGTCGAGGTGTTAAAATAACGGTTTGGTGTTGGAATAAAACTCCAGTTATGTTCATTACTACACCAAAGGTTCTAAACACAAGGTTGTTAGACGGATGAATTGGCAATTTAAAAAATATCCAATGAATTTTTTATTGTAGCCGCCTGAGCAGAAAAAGTTTCGAGAAACTCGTTTCAGGTTCATATCTGCATATTCTCTCAATCTTGTTTCGTTCAACGTGAGACGTTATTCAATTGGAAAATACTGAAATCAAGCAATATACATGTTGATACACGACAAAACTGCAAATTCGAAATCAAGAGTAACTCTTTAATGACCAGGATATGGTTATAGGTGTGCATATTAGAGTTCAATTTCATCAGCAACCATTCTGATAAACAGTTCTCAATAATATTTGGTCATACGGTGAATTTTTCGAGTTCTCAAATCTATTCCAAGCATTCCAAAAGATTGATTCTGAACCTTTCTCTTCCAAATGAATTATATCATAGTCATGGTTGAACTCAAGCCCCTTTGCAAAAAAAAGTTTTTCAATTGAGAAATCGGTCTTCACTATCAAGAAACTACTCGTGAGCCTTTTGATTCCTTGGAAAATGTTTTTTCCCTTTTAGTCAATATTGAGTTTGCATGTCAACTCATATACCCCTGATCTATTCGACACTGACATTGTGTTTTTATTGTTTTTGATGAATTTGTTCAAATCATTATATGTTTTGTAAGTCACGTCCCAGTCTTTCGTTTTCTAAAGACGAGAGATGTTTTTGTTGGGTTCAGCAAATATTTCAATTATAGTTTCTCCAAATAGTTCCAAAGTGGATCATTCATTCACCACAACTGAAAAGTTGCCAGTGTGTGACTATCTAATTTTCCGTACTGAATACATGAACAAACGGATGATCAGTGTCATTACTTTTCGAGTTTGAAAGCCATGGATTTTTGCAATTTCTTCCTGACTTTTCGCTAGCGCGAGTGTCTAGCTTCTTCAGAAGTTCAACCATCATGGCTTACTGTCCGATGACTGCCTTTTAGGCTTCGTAAAGCGTATTTATGAATTGTACCTGTTTTTGTACCTATATATGTACCTTTACTTGTACCTGCACTTGTACCTGTACTCG